CTGAATCTCTTTTTATCTTTTTTTTTTTTTTTTTTCCTGAGGAAAAAGTAGTTTTTGGACGCGCGGGCCTTTTTTCTGCCCTTCCCTGTGTGCGTGTGGCCAGCAGCCGCGTCCTGCCCTCTGTGCTGCTGCTGACGCTGTCCCTTGGCCGTGCGCTCCTGCGCTCTCGCCCTTGCTGCGCTAATTTTAGTTGCCCTTTCTGTTTATGACTGTGTGTTTCACTTCTCTCAAAACGCGGAGAATGAAAGTAGAGCTCCCCAACGCACGAGCCTCCCCGCTGAGTCTGCTCCTGGGCGGCGATCTCCCCCGTAGAGGAAGTAGGTTTACCTTCTGGGTTGAAACCCGGCGGCACTCCCGCCCTGCTGGCCTGGTAGTGGCACCGAGCCCGCGTGCGCCGAGCTCCTGAGGTGTGGCTGTTGGCCCAGCCGCCCACGGGCGGGCGGCTCTGGGACTTTCAGGCAGCCTTTTAGCCTCACATTGAGCCTCGGCGTAGCTAAGGTCTGTGCCTTCTTAGTGTGCCCGTGCTTCTGCCCACAGCGCTGTGAGGATCCAGTGATGTGACATATCTGCATGTGTGTGTGTTTTTAACCAGAAATCGAACTCAGGACCTTGCACTTGCGGGCAGTGCCGTGCCAGTATGCCTGGCCTTGCATGCATTTTCTAAAAGTCAAAGCGTGCGTCTGTACTAGAGTTGTATCTACCCCCGCGTGCTGTGTGTTGTGAAGCGACAGTCGGTGCTGTGCAGAGGGGCAAGGGTCCGTAGCTAGTTGGGGGTTTATATAAAGGGTTACGTGGCTTAAGGTATAGCTTAAACTTCGGTGACAGTTTGGGGAGACAGTTCAGATTGGTGGTATTTAACATCAGCACTATGATTTAACATCAGCACTTATTTATTTATTTATTAATTATTTTTTTGGCAGAACCGGGGATTGAACTCAGACCCTCGCACTTGCCAGGGTAGTGCTTATTTCACTGAGCCATCTCCCCGGCCCTATGATTTTTATATTTATTTGGTAAATCATTATATATCTTAAAAGCTATTCTTACACGTAAGTAGGCTTGCTCCATAATATGCATTGGATTTTATTCACAAATAGGCTAGGTTAGTTGTTTTTGGGTAATCGAGCATGATGAATGCTGGGTGACGTGGGCCAATTTTAATGGATTTAGTTCTGTTTCTGTGTTTTGCTTTGTGAATGAAGATTATTAGATAAATTTGGATTGAAGATTTATCCTTTTAGGTTACTTCTTAAAATTTCCAAGTTTGGCTTTGAAATTGTACGTGTGACCGTGCGGCCCCAGTGCGGCCCCAAAAGCGTTTGTAGTTTGGTGTGGAGACTGCGAGGGTGACCTGCGGCAGCAGCCACGCCTGCTCCTAGCCCAAGTCCTTTCACCCCATCACCTGGCCTGTTAATCCGCAAGCTGCTGCAATTCCTCCCTTCCCTTTGTGTCACGGCTCCTCCTCTAGTGCAAATACCATGTGGAGCCATGTTGTTATAGTTACGGTTTGTTAAATAACACTCACAGTTTTTTCAGAGCGGAAGTACGCATTTATTTGTTAGATTCTGGATAGCAGAAATAGATATTTCTGTTATTTTAATGTCTGCAGGTAAGATAACAGATATAGGAGGAAGTGATATAAAACACATTGAGGTCATATTGACATTAGGATTTATCTTCATTTCCCCGTTTCCCTTATAATTTGTATAGTAAATTGATAAACTATCTGATTATGCAAGTAGGAAGAACTGAAGACGATAATAGAAAAGCCCTCCTAATGCCACCGCCAGTCGCAGTCTCTGAGGAGCTCTTCGCTGGTCTCTCTAGAGCCCTTCGCTAGGCGTGTTGGTGGTGTTTCGGTGTTTCTCAGCCTAAATGCCGCCTGTTGCTTGGTCAGAGCCATGTGCACTGCAGGAGAAGCAGCCCCCAATGTGACACGCGTGTTCTGTTGGTGCCTCCCCTCCGCTGCAGGTGCCCACCAGCCCTGGTGCTGATGCCCGAGCCTGGCCGGAGCTGGGGCAGGTGGGGAGGCCTCCCGCGCACCTCGGCTGCTAGGCGGGCTTGGCGGCTCCCGTTGCGCCCGAGCGCTGCGCATGTGGAGTCCCAGTGCACTGAGGCCCAGGCCCACGTGTGTACTTTGTGTGCTTGCCTGCACAGGGCCGTGGCGGGCAGTGACTTTATCAGCCCTGAATTTGTGCTTGTGGCAGCCTGTCCGAGCTGCCTCCCAGCCGCCCTGCTGTGGCTCCAGTCTGAACTGCCTGTCTAGTTTAATTGCTCCGTTGCCTGTCCTATTGCCTGCATTCTTTCCTTTCCATTTTACTATGAAACTAGTATTTTCTGCCCATTTGTGGTGTATTTTACTTCCTCTTTTTGTTTTATAACGGTTTTCATCAAATTGTTTTAGAAAATTTGAAAACGACATCGACCCAGAAAATGTATCATAGGAAATGAGCTTATGGTGTACTGCCTTTTTGTTTCTCAGTGCTGTGCATACATCAGTGTGTATAGTGTGCTTTTGAAGATGGAGTGAGCAGGGCATGCCTTAATTAAAAAAAAAAATTATGTGCCTATTTTCTTACGTTTTTCTGCTTTTCTTCTCTGTAGTGTACACACAGTATGATTTGAGCCTCCTTACGGACAGTGCTGCTGTTAGCTAGACCCCTCTGCCTTGTGTTTTTAGCTCCTCCTGTCATTGTGTCCCTTGGGTGTGGTCTGCATTGTGCTAGGCTGTGTTGGCTGTTGCGTTAATGTTAATGTTAATGTTATTTTTCCCTCCTCTCTTTAAAGGCAATGTGGCTTTGGATAATCTACAGATAAAAGAAAATGCCCTGGTAAGTCTTTTTTAAACCTATGCTAATAACTCAGTTAATTTGTGCACTGGACATCTGGAACCAGATGCCAGATAAAGTGATTCTGTTGCTTAATTTAATGACTTTGGGAAATCTCAGATTAAAAATAGAAAAATTTACCCTAATGAGCAAGATAGTATCTTTTGGAAAATGGAACGTTTCTCTTTCACCTTTCTTGACTATAGCTTTGTAGTCTACATTTTTCTTAGAGAAATGTTCCGAGGATTGAACTCAGGCCCTTGCTTGCTCTTGCCAGGCAGGCGCTTAGTCTACTGAGCCATCTCCCCAGCCCCTAAGAAATACTTTTCTTCAGAATTATCTTTACACATTTTTAAGTTAAACTGAGGGCTTGATTTTAACAAATATCTAATGAATAATTCTAATATAGCCTTATAATGTGGTAATAATAAGAAATAAAGCAAGCCTGTCCGTGTCTGTCTGTCCTGTGTCTCCCCTGTCCTGGTCTAGAAAATAATTTATGTTACTTACTATGGAGCAGACAACTCTTCTACCCCTATTGTTTTCTATATAGCTTGTTGGGTTAAATTTGCATTTATGAAGTCACGTAAGGCTTATTCACATTTCCAGATACTGAACTTACAGTGTATGACACCTTTCTGCATCAGTTTAGTCATCTTTGAAGCAGAATTAGTTTTTAGCAGTAAAATGTCTGTACTTGTGGCTTGAATAAGCCGAACAGTGAGCTGGAAAATTGCAGGGCTGCAAGAGAGAGAGAGATTTTCCTGTGTTTCGAAGGCATGTAACAACTTCTAAATTCTATTCAGAAGTTTAGGAGTTATTCTACTGTTAAGAAATTGGAATAAAGCTTATTTTTTTTTCTCAGCTTATGGCAATATTTTGTAAGAATAGAAGTTTAAGTAGAATTACAAGGATTGGATATTTAACATGCTTAGAACAATGAATTGAACTCTTAGCCTAACTTAAAGAATCTACCTGTTCTGTTAAAATTGTGTTATTTGTTTACTAAATATGAGAGAATTGGGCCGGTGAGATAGCTCAGCGCACTAAGCACCTGCTTTGGCAAGTGTAGTGAGCAGGGTTCAATCCCTGGCACCACATATTGTGCCAGCCCTGACCCCGGATGCGCCAAGCTGGTGACAGAGTCTGGGCGTGGTGGTGCGTGCCTCTAATCCCAGTGCTGGGGAAGCTGAAACAGGAGGATCACTTCGAGGATCCAGACTGCGTAGTGAGACACTGTACCAAATACATTAAAAAAAAAAAAATACACACACACACACACACACACACACACGAGCGCATCCTTCAGTTACTGTTTTCAATTAATGCGTGTGAGATGACTTCCTTTTCTTGTTCTGGCGTTTCATGTAAACTGTGTCCGTCTGTTTAAGTTAATGGAGTTGTATTTGATTTGATTTATTAAAGCAAATTAACCAGTTTACACACCTACAAATACATCTTTTAAACTACAGGGTCCTTAAATTATTCTTGTTAATAGTTTTTGTTTTGAATTTTTTGTGCGGTGTCAAAGTTCAGGAAATTGTTTTTTGGTGCTGGGAATCGACCTCAGGACCCTGCTCTTGACAGGCAGGTGCTGTGCCGCTGAGCTGTCTCGCTGCCCCCCACCCCACCCCCTTAAGCCGTGAGCCCTTTTCTGAATTACTCAAATGCAGAAAATCTGTTTTTTTTTTTTGTCTTTTTAGTGGGCACTACATTTCTGTGTTTACATGATACTAGAGTAACTTTTGGGGGCATAATAATGTAAGATGTCCTTTAAATTATTCTTTTTCCTAAAGAGTGAATTGGATGTTCCTTTTAAAGTCAAGGCTGGGCAAATTGGTAAGTACTTAATTTTTCATGCGAATTACTTTTTCTTTTTTTGTGTGTGTGTTACTTAATCTAAAGAAGCTTTTCAGCTTGACCAAATGTGTGCGGAAGTTTCGGCCTGCATTAGTGCTTGTCGCATTCTGAACCTGGAGGACGGGCACAAGGGTGGAAAGCCAGCCCCTTGGGTAGAGGGGCACTTACGCTGGGCTCCTGCTCTCCAGGCGCGGCCCCACTGCGCAGGGCCACCTTTGGCTTGATAGCAGATGTGCTTTATTTGTGAAGGTAGTATAATTTGCAGACTCTATTAAAAAACCTTTAAGGCAGCTTATTTCCCTCTGTCCCGCCATGTTCACCTGCTACATTATGCAGCAGCGCAGCACGGATGATGTTTGGTAAGTACAGTCTTCTTCCTTGCAGCTGAGTTCTACTCTAAAACCGCATACAACTAAGCGTATGTCTTTTTGTAAACACTATTTGTTTATTTATTTGGTACAGGGTCTCGCTATGTAGCTCAGACTCAGTGATCCTCCAGTCTCAGTCCTGGGAATACAGCCATGTGCCCCCATGCCTGGTCTTGGTGGCTGGCTTGGGCGTGTGGCATGCGGTACCGGGGATCAAGCCCTGGTCTTTGAGCTTGCCAGTCAGGCGCTTAGACCTCTGAGCTATTTCCCTGGCCTAAGCATATATCTTTTTTT